ACTTGGAGCAAAATTCTGCACACTTCCGCGTGTTTCCATGATACGACAAATTGCGCACGGTCTGCTCAGATTCAAATACAGTGCTGCCAAAAAATGACAGCGAGCATAAAAAACATCTTTCCTTGCAAGGGCCCACTTTCGGCCATAACTCTTGAACGGCTGGTCAGATCGAGACAAAATTTACAGAGATTTTGCAGCTATTCATGCTCTTTCAACTGACGTAGTGTATCGTATAGCATGTCTCCGTTCGATAGCGTATCCCCGTACATTAGCATATGGAGTCTGCCTGTGCATTAAAGCTGCTGTTCACAATTCTTTTGAGCCAGTTAATGTCATTGCCAGTTATTGTTACATTTCAATTGCCAGGTACAGTGTGTTCACTGAGACCCTTGTGCATTCTTGCCTCCAAGAGACTGCGGCCCGCTACAAATTGGTGGCAGCGGTAAATTCGTTTTGTTTCATTCTATACCTAACTTTGCTACTTTACACATCCTCCGATCCGATGGCCCAACCAAATGTACCTGCTGTGGTACCCGTTGCTGCGCCCGCTGCAGCCCCAGCTCCGCCCGCTCCTGCTCAACCACCGAGAGGGGCGTACAATGTGCAGCCCGAAAAATACAACTTAACAAGGGTCGCCGGGAGATCAACTTCGCGCCCTGGCTGATGCATTTCGACCAGGTCGCCGCGGTAAACAACTGGAACCCCGTTCAGCAGACGCAGTTCCTGGGCCTCGCACTGGAAGGCAATGCCCAGCTGTATTACCAATCGCTCCCAGCGGCCACTAGGAACGGAGGCCGCCAACAGCTAGTCCAGGCGCTGCAAGCTCGGTTTGATCCAGCGCAGCGCGTTGACCTCCATCGCGCAACGTTTCAAGCTCGTCGCCAGGCCAAAGACGAACAACTGGGTACTTTCTGTGAGGCGGTTCGCTCCCCGGCCCGGCAAGCTTACCTCCAAATGGCCACGGGGTACCTCGACAGCCTGACAAAAGACCAGTTTATCTCCGGGCTTGACTCACGGGGCATGCGGGTCCGCGTTCGGGAGCTACCCCTGCTTTAGGAGATGTTCATAGGCACTGCTCGAGTAGGCGTCCCCAGCAACATCCGGGCAACTTGAGGGCAGCAGTCCAATCTGCTATGTGTGCCTTTTCTTCGCGGTCCCTTGGGGCGACGTTCCATCCGGTTCGTGGCAAGTGTCCAGTGGAATGCTCTTCCCGTCAGCGTCAGAACTGAGGGTGGAAAGCGGAGCTTCCAGGCTCTCACACGTGCATTACATCTAGAGGTGACTGCAGCGGAGCAGTAACTCGGTCAGCTACTCTCACATACTGATCGATCTCTGTCTCGATATCTCTCTCTCTCTCTCTCCCTCCCCTCCCTCCCCCTCTCACTCTCCCTCCTCTCTCCCCCTCCCTCTCCCTCCCTCTCTATCTCTTTCTTTCTCTCTCTCTCTCTCTCTCTCTCTCTCTCTCTCTCTCTCTCTCTCTCTCTCTCTCTCTCTCTCTCTCTCTCTCTCTCTCTCTCTCTCTCTCTCTCTCTCTCTCTCTCTCTCTCTCTCTCTCTCTCTCTCTCTCTCTCTCTCGCTCTCTCCTTTCTCCCCCCCCCCCTCTCTCTCACTCTCTCACTCTCTCTCTCTCAATCTCTCTCTCTCTCTTTCTCCTTCTTTCTATCTTTCTCTCTCATTCTCTCTCGCTCTCTATCTATCTCTCTCATTCTCTCTCTCATTCTGTCTCTCTCTCTCACTCTCTCTCTCTCTCTCGTTTTCTCCCTTTCCTCTCTCGTTTTCTCTGTCATACTGTATCTACGACCTAAGTTTTATTTTCACTTCTTCCCCACTCATCTACTACCATGTTCATAATCATAAAAGAGAGCATGTCTCTCTTCCAAGAAATGCAGTGTATGATGGACCTACTGGACACAGCGTTCACTTGCGCACCTGCACTGATGACAGTTCACTTTCGGCCCAATGCAGACCACCCGCTTCTACCTCGTCTTGATGCCTCAAAGGCAGCTGGACAGAACTACGCAAAAAACCTCTTTTCCGATACATGCCAACCATGACTTACAGGGTTTGTAATTCGGTTGTGGCTTTCAACAGCCCGTCAGGTAGGTCAACCAGTTGATTATACCTCAAATTTCTGGGAGAACAAAGTAGAATTTGGATAAGATGTACATTGTACGTCAAGTGTGTGGGTTACAGTGAAATCTGCGTCTCACCCACCGGTGTAGATGAGAGAGAGAGAGAGGGAGAGAGAGAGAGAGAATGATAGAGAGAGGGAGAATGAGAGGGAGAGAGAGAGAAACATAGGGAAATGAGAAAATTAAGGAGATATATCCGGTTGATTTGAGGTTGCACTGTCGGGCTAATATAGGATTACAAGTACATTGATTTGTAACTAGTTGGATGAACATAATTATTGCCACACGCAGAGCCTTCCAGCTCTTACGACAGGCAGCTGTTGGCCAGAGCGAATGGAGATCTCCCAGAGTCAGGAGTCTACCCTGCCCGGCTTTCTGCAGATCTTGATGCAGCATGCTGGGAAGAGGGACGCGTGGCCGGCCAAGCCATCTGGTGCTGTTAGTTTGCGAAACAGATTTCCATTGCCGATACTGCGAGGGTTGATGGTGGCAGCCGCAAGATGTGAACAAATAGACGCCACCTGGCACGGCGTACGAAGATGCTGATCTCCGCCATTTGGCACCTCTGGTACATTGCTTCATTGGAGATGCGCTGCGGCCATTTGATTCCAAGGAGAGAACGCAACTGACGTCGTTGGAAGGCATCCAACTTTTGGAAAGCATATTGCGTGAGGCCACAAGTGCCACAGTTGTATGCGAGAACGGGTAGGACGAACGCCGACTACAGTCAGAGGCGCAGGCGCTCACTCACAGCAGATCTCCGTTTCAAGAGGTTAAACATCGAAGTGAAGGCCGCTGAAGCAAGCTGCTTCATTCGTGCTACGTCAACCTCGTCGCCAAGAAGAGATCCTATTTTTTTTCGGACCATTCTCCACTCCTCACCAATACTTTCGTTGCTTCTGGGCACCTAAGGTTCCGTTTTAATTGGGTTGGCAGTCAGTGACCCTATCAATATCAACTGGAAATGTAATATCATCAAACATCCAAATACTAGGGACCTTTCGCACCCCGCGTACGGCTACGAAACGAATGCTGATTCGTCACCTGGGTTCGAGGATTCGTCAGAGTCCCTGCCTCTTCATTCGTGGCACGCTCCGAATCCATCAGGTACACATTTATTTGGATAGGTACACATGTTTTGCAAGGTACACATTTTTCCCTTGATTCCATGATCCATGCACGTGTGCGTGTAAAAACCCGTACGCCAAGCTACCGGCGCCCGCGGCCGTATTCGTAGTTGCCATGCACATTTGCATGACGACTTGCGAAACCTGAAATCTGTTTTCAACGAAACGATTACGAGCCGAATCAAACTTTCGTTTCGCATTCGTTTCGTAGCAAATGCGAAAGGTCCCTACTATCTTATATCACCCGAATACCATAATATCATTATGATTATCAACTCCCTCAGTATTCAAACTGTAGCAATAGAATCACACCATCTATCACAATAGCAACATGCAATAACTATCATAACGTATGGCATTCGATATCCATACTTATCTTGTTTTCTTTTTTCCGTCTTGCATGTTGCTTTCTGCCTTAACATCAGCATCTTCCATATTAATTTTGATATCTGCTTACCACCACTCATTCTTTGACTACTGTGATAAAGACATTTACGAGTGAAAGATGAACGTGGTGTCGCGACTCATAGCAAATGTATGATTTCCGTTCGACGTAGTGTCCGGATACCATCGATGTTTTATTTACAGGTTGACAGATATTAAGGTGGCTCATACCCAATTAAATTAAATAAAAAATCACGATTCGCGTGAGACTTGGCTGGAAGCCGGGCTTTCCGCATCCGTAGGAACGCCACCACCCTTCAAGGATCAAGGCGCAGATGCAGCCCCTAAAGCGGTGGGAGGTGAGTAGATCGGCTCACCAGCAAGTGATCAAAGACCGAAAATCCCATTCACTGCATCCATGATTTCCTCGTGCTAGGCCACGAGTTCCCATTAACTGTGGGTCGCAGCACGGCTGGAAAAAATCCTTTCGCTTCCAAGCAGGACTTGAACCTGGTACCCTATGTTTCTCATTCATGATCTTAGACCAGCTCACTATGCCTGCATACCCAAACGAAACATAAAAACGACCTGATCGATTTTGTTAAAAATTGCACTGCTCTACTACCAGAATATTGTCAGTTCCGAAAAATAGGAAAGATTGAAACATATCTTCATAGTTAAAACCTGATTTGACATTTCTGGTATGTTGGAGTATGTTGCACAAACACATATCCCAGCATTTGGCTTCTACTGTATCTGAGTGCAGTCAAGCCAAGCCGAATAGGGTGGCTGGGATTTCTTCTCAGGGTTCTTGGCTGCCCATACTAACAATCTCATTTGGCTCCGAAAAGCAAATATCTGTACTTCGCCGGGTTTTTTCCGAAAGTGGCCAGATTTCTTCAAGAAGTACAGCCAGCTATGTGGTTCATACACTAAACATTAGATATTCGATATTGAATCAATGTGAAGGACCTAGGAGCACGGTTTGCTGAATCCAATATTGGCTGACGTGTGTGGTGGACAAAAAGCATTATAGTCAAACATACTGGCCGTATAGATTTCATTCAAATGTTGCAAAGGTATTTAAAAATAGTAATGGGAAGAGTTTACCGAGTTATGGCCACTGCAGCTACCAGAAGCATACTTTGTCAAGTACTACCAACACGGAGTTCCACCTGGAAAAGTCTTCCACGAGCGGCGTCAGATTCGGGTCATAAAGGGTGGTCAGGATAAATGAGATCAATCAACGAGATGCAAAATCCCCAAATCGCATTTGCCACATCTCCAAAGAACATAACTACGACAAAAATGCCTTTTTACGGTACATGCACAACATGACTTACAGGTTTTGTAATTTGGTTGTGGCTTTGAACAGCCCGGCAGGTAGGTGGACAAGTTGATTACGGTACAAATCTCTGGGGACAACAAAGTAGAATTTTGATAGGATGTATATCACTTCCTGGAAGAATATCTTATTACTCTATTTTGTCGTACTAGTTTGTAGGTGGAGTGTGTGGGTTACAGTGAGGGCTTTTACCCACCCGCCTGTGGAGATTCACACCAAGTTTGAGCTAAGAAGTCTGAAGAAAATGTTGGACGCTGAATTCGTGGGGAATGGATGTGTTAGTGTCTCTACAGCGTGCAAAGTAAATATACATCTATGGAGGTGCACGGCTGGATGTGGCTGCCATTGGAGTCTGGTAGGTTTGAGCAAACATTCTTCGATGCTCGGGTGTATAACCCTTATGCTCGTTCAAACCGAAACCCCGCCTCCCTGGTGTCCGTCTATGCCAGACACGAGAAGGAGAAGTGTTGCAGCTACGAAGCACGAGTTTTGCACATCGATCATGCGTCTTTTGTCCCCATCGTCCTCAGTTGCACTGGCGGGCAAAGCAAAGCAGCGAAGGCTCTCTACCGCAGGGTTGCGTCCATGGTATCGGAGAAGATAGGAGAGTCTTTCTCGTCGGTGATTGCCTTTCTTCGAGTGAGGTTGGGCTTTGCCCTTGTCCGAGCAGCTGCCGTGGCCATTCGTGGTCATCGACGTCCAGCCTCTTCCTCTGCCGTTGATCAGAACCGTTGTACTTGCACTTCCTGTCAAATATCCGTCTTTTCTTTTTCTCTATTTATTTTCTTTACCAGGCGTGGGCCATTCCCTGGACTATCAAAATGGGTGCCTTATTATTTTATCTGTTTCTGTTATAATGACAGTCCATTGCAGATTACAATTTTTTTTACATCTATGCTGTGATAGGTGATTTCAAGTAGTGCTTTGAGCCGAATTCTGACTTTGGGGCTCATAATATGGCCGAATTTGGACATTCTCTCAGCCGATAAATCGGGTCGATTTGGGAAATGCCTAGCTGGTGCTCATGGCCAATGACACTACCATGCTCGCTGCGAGTTCTGGGGCTGGTCAAGGGGAAATTGCGTAGTGGCAAACAGAGAGCAGATGCGGAGGACCAGGCAAGCAGTGCAGCTGGTACGGGTAGGCAAGCGAAGCAACAGTAGAGCGGATGGCCAGCCTGGTTAGGTGTCTACCAGGACCGAAAGCATCCGGTGCGCAGCTCTGAACATTGTTCAGACGCTGGAGGTGACTCTGCACAGCTCCCATCCACACAAGAGGCGCATACTCCATGACTGGTCGTACGAACGCCTTATATACGGTCCACCTGCCGGCGCAGGTGAGGATGTGGGCGGCTCTGTTCAGGACCCCAAGCCGTTGGCGTGCATGGGAGGCTGCGGAGCGTAGGTAGTTTGTAAATTTTATTATTTAAGGGGTCAGCCTACCCCTAAATTCCATAAGGCATTCAATTGACCGTAACTTTGGTGACTCTCCATGGATTTGAGTGAAAGTTTGACCACACACTTCTTCCACTATGCTGGCTCTCTGGACATGATTTAAAAGTTCTTGAGCCTCGCTGACAGGCTTTCCAGGCCGGAAAAACTCAAAATTCCAGCATAGTGCCTCGGTGTGCGCGACACCCAGGAGCCAAAAGAATGCATTTACAATTTGTTCTCATTTTCGTGCCCATTCTGTCCGTGCGCGGGATCCAAACCTAAAACAAGTCTACAAGCAGCCATGGGTGGTGGGGTAGGGCCCCTCAAAGTGGCCCTTGAATCTGTGACAACGGAACGAGTTTGCATTCTCTCACAGACCCCCACAGACCCAAGTCAATTTTTGATTTTTTTAGGTTTAGCACGTGCTACGAGGTTGCACCTTTGATACAACATCCAGTGCTGGGACGTCCACAGCAAGCCATTTCCACAGCGCTGCACACCAAATCCAGGATACCCTCAAAAATCGGCAAAGACTACCACTCGCGTTCCACTACTGCCTAGTACTGAATTCTACCTGACTTCTTGACACGACTCAAACTTGCCAAAGTCACTAAATCAACGTCAACCACAATATTCAAGCCACATATCTGCAACGTCACGAGGGTGCTGGCAAAGGTCCTGCTGCACGTACAGCCCAATACGTGGCTAATAAACGTGATTTTTGGACTTGGAGCAAAATTCTGCACACTTTCGCGTGTTTCCATGAAAGGACAAGTTTCACACGGTCTGCTCATATTCAAATACAGTGCTGCCAAAAAATGACTGTGTGCAAAAAAATCTTTTTCCTTGCAAGGGCACATTTTTTCGGCCATAAATCCTGAACGGCTGGTCAGATCGAGACAAAATTTTCAGAGATTTTGCAGCTATTCATGCTCTTTCAACTGACGTAGCACTCGATATGAATTTACAAATTCGATTTTTCACCGAATTTTCGGGTGGTCTGCCACCTTAAAATTAATGATCTCCCAAAGGCATAGCCTATCTGGGGGATCAGGTGATCGCTAAAGGTCAACTTGGTGTCCATCTTCACACCAAGGAGGGTGATGCTGGTTGTCTCGTGTACCAGTGTGCCACCAAACAGAAGTGCAGGGAGATCTAAGCCGGCGCGTCTGAGGGTGACTGTCATGGCCTGGGATTTGGTCGGGTCAAAAATCACTTTCCATGTATGGCCTCTGAGGGTGCCTGTCATGGCCTTGGATATGGTCGGTTGAAAAATAACTTTCCTTGTTTGGCCCCACTGGTGCAGTCTGTCAATGCCCAGCCTCCTGCAGCCAATACAGTTCCTTTTCACAGTGCTACCCGGCAGAGCGATACGCAATCGCAGCAGCCATTCGTTTTCCTCCAACTCATTCTTGACACAGATGTCCTCGAACAGGTGGAGATAACGCTACAGTGGCTGCCTTCCGTCGTATGTCGATACTTTCATCAAAGGCTCACGCCCACCGCTGTGACAGGGAGCCTCCGCTGTACCTCCCATCAACCTCACACGCGCAGTGTCACCCATTCCATCAACTTATCGCCTTCAAATACATACCGAATTCCGTTGGCGAAAAAGTTGGCTTCCAAATAACCTAGTTCCTGTTCCATGCTCGCTTCGTATCCTGGAGTGGTCTCCAAATGTTGTGAACCCTCTGTGATTCTCTAAATTGTCAGGATCGAACGACCACACTGCACGAGGACAACTATTAACTCTTGAGAGAATATTTCACTTCGATCAACAGCAACTAACGCTAAAACCACCAGGTAGTTATAGCGTGAAAATGACAGCAAACACATACAACATACAACTATAGCGCACACAGCAAATCACACATAGCGCATGTAGCGTATACCACGTCGTACACATCAGCGGTACGGCGAAGTCAAGATACAACTGCATTGAAACGAACACAATGCCACAAGCGAGAAGGCCTGTCACACTTGAGAAATTGTGGTTTCATAACAATAAGAGTTGCCATGACTTTCGGGATTATGCACAGCAACAAGAGTACATAACCCCCAAGAGTGTGCAACTGCCTGCACAACCACTATGCTGTGCTGCGACGGCAGAACTTCACATCACGTGACATGGTTCAAAAGGTTATGCTGGCAAACAGTGCAAAGTGACGACAAGAGAGTTCCCAAAGTACCCAAAGCTGGGCTGCGTACAACCCTGTATCTATCATGCACAGAGTGCAAATAATGTGTACGGGTTCATCACGTGATGTGAAGTTCTGCTGTCGCAGACCCCATAGCTGGAATTGCACACTCTTGGGGGTTATGTACTCTTGACAGCAAGGGTACGGGCCTGTAATTCTTAAGGCTTGAGCGGGAAGATTGCTTGTGGATTTAAACCATGTTGGCCGCCTTCCACATCCTAGGTCGGACTCCAGACCGGAAGCACTGATCTCTGTCTCCATTCTGCCTGTACAATGTCCTTCATTACTTTTAAAATTGTTTCTCCACCCAGCTTCGCGAAATCCCTTCTGGCACTCTCTTCAAATCCCAGATATCCCTGCTGTTGCAGAACTCTGTATGCTCGTGTAGCGACCACCCTGCCGATACACGTATTCACTACTCCCTGCTCACCCAATTTTTCATCACTCTTCCTCCTCTCTCACACCATTATCGCTTATTGGTCACTGGGTACCGTGAGAATAAAGTTTTGACAACAACCACGTTATGAATTTGCAGTTGAAAGCCCTATTTGAATAAGGTGACGAGCTGTCTTTGATGATGCTGTGCGGTCCATGTACCCCATCTTTTTCGTAGCTACGGTAATAAGGCTGCGTTTACACAAAGACAAAATGAAACGAAACGAAACGTAACGAAAACGGGCTGGCCTCGAATCGTTTTCAAATCTTTTACACGAGAACGGAAAATCGTTTTGAACCGTTTACACTAAAACGGAAAACGGGCGATCAGGCTAGAGTTAGCAGGTGCTGGTTTGGCGCAAGGGCGGGAAGTAACACGTTAGTTGGAGTTGGTACGTGCTGGTGGTCGCAAGGAATGGGTGTTTCCCGCTAGTTATATTCTGGCAAAGAATGGTTTCCATGACCGCGCTCCGTTTCCAATCATTTTCACTGTTTTCACCGTTTACACAAGAATGAAAACGTTTTGAAAACTTTGAAGTGCTTTGCATTTCGTTCCGTTTAGGTATTGTTTTGTGGTCGTTGTCGTGTAAACGATAGTAGTAAACGCAACGATATCATTCCGGTTGGCGTATTTCGTTGTCGTGTAAACGCAAATCGTTTTCAATCGTGTAAACGCAGCCTTAAGCATCATTACCGCATAGTGAGGACTCTTGATTGCCATTTAGAGTGAGATTCATTTTGAAAATTGACTTACATATCCGTAACGATCTTGTTATTCTGAAATGCTGAGCCACTGAGATACGTCAAATTGTTAGAGCGCAAAGAACTAGATGCAATAAAGCACAGAATAAAGCTGTATTTTATACACAAAATAAAGGACCAAGGAACTACACGTTATGCTATACAGTCCATTAACACCACCAGTTACTAAACAATCAGCTCGTGCGATAATAGCGCACGACACTGACCAACGGTACAGACGTTTCACGGCTGTTATGCATGCATAATCCAGCGACATTATGTACCGTATGACATTTCCCCGTCACCCAGTGATCCATGATGCGGTCTTACACGACCTTGCTGCCTTTTTCAAATCTCTGGAAATATTCGGCAAGGTTTAGCCTATGTTTCTGTCGATTCCAGCCGTTTTCCACGCTGGATTCGCGAAGTCTCGGCGAATTCACCTTACTGCCTTCAAGCTGCGCAAGCAGATATTTTTATCGTCAAACTGCGCAATGCGAAAGTGAAGTTACGATCTTTTTCATTTCGTTCCCTCTCGGCGTGCCGGCCATTGGCGTTTATCAGAATTGGCTCACATTTGAGGCTTCCTCCTAAGGAGTGCAGAATTTTTGGCAGCCTTCACGCCAATTTTGATTGAAACGTTTGTCCTTTTCCTACGTCGTAGTTATATTTTCATTGCCTCCCAGATTATCGTTTTCGTGCCCAAGTCGATTTGCGTGGCATACTTGGACGTTAGTTGCAAGTGTTTGCTGATATATGCAGAACGAGTGGAGGTGTGTTCTCCTGCCTCAATGTCTAACGAAGACCCCGGTTTCGTTCGCCATAGGAGGAATCCGTGCATGCTTCGTTCTGGATGTCAGCAAGTACAAATCAGACATGCATCCAATGAACATTTTTTGAAATCCATGCTTTCGAAATGTACGTAGAAGCAGGACATTGTGTACAGATTTTAAATGTTAGACAGATAGGCATGGGTTTTTTGTATTACTAGTTTTACTGCAGACTTAGGCCTCGCACAATGTAGTCTGTCGGTGATCCTGCTGAAAAGCACACACTTGCATGCGTGAAGACCATACGGAAATACTTTTAAAAGTAATTGAACAACAACAAACGGCAACTATGATGCACCTCTCAACTTGTGGAGTTGGAAATCTAGCTCCAGCACCGCAGAGCTCTCAGCAGTATGCAGCGTGAGCAAGGCGTGTATGGTCGAAGTGAAAATACTTCCGTGACTCTTCAGCCACGTCTGGCTCTTGACACGTAGTCCTGAGAAATTTCTCGCGAAACAGGTTTTTCGTCCACTGACATTACTTTCCCTTTGCTGTAATCTCTGTGTGAAACTTACGAACGGGACGAAAATGACATGCATTTTTGTATCTTGCACAATTGTATCTTGCACTGCATCAGCACTAAGCACAGCATGGCACTCAGGACACCGCCGCAGCCGCTGGTGATGGCCGTACCCGGTTTTACCACTCTCGGCGTTCATGATAATTACATGTAAGGCCACACTTTGTTTTTTCTATGTTTCTCGTCATCGCCCACGTAGGTTTTCAGAAATTTGGGAAGAAAAAAAAAGTTCATACTATATACATGTATGTGCGCTGCACATGCTGCAGCAACCAGATGCGTCAATCAAAATCGTAAACGTTTGCAACACAGCAGCAAAGGAGCGCTCCTCGTCCGTTCTCTGCGATGAAGGCTGTCATGACGAAGCTTTCAGTCGTTCACTGCCTGAGCATCGTGGTTCCCAGGAATACCGTAAGTCGGACGAGTTCCGTTGCAACTGGCGTCTGTGGAACAATGTCGTAGGCAGAAAATCCAAGCAATAGACGCATGGCAAGGAAAATATGAGCAGCATGGAGACAAGAGTTTGATAAGCGGACACAAGAACGTTGAAGTAACAAAACCAAAATTAATGACGAGTGGGAAACGTTTGTTGATGCGATAGCAGATAAATGTATGTTCTCTTCGCCATCTCGTAATCAAACTTTATGCTCTCATTGTTGCAGTTTGCCTGATATTCGTGGGCTGATGTGATAATGTAGTGCAATCATGTATGGGACTACATGTACATGATTGTACAATGTAGTCCTGTATACATGGTATGCGCAGTGTCTGGTATGAATCACGCATATACATGTACATTGAAAAATGTATACAATTTTCAGTAGAAAGTGTTCTTGTTTTTTCCTTGGCTTTTGTTTTTTTTCCGCCCGCCCGCGTACCTTTTGTTAAAATTTGCCGACGAGAAACATAGAAAAAACAAAGTGTGGCCTAACATGTTCAATATGCAAATGATTATGTAGAACACTAATAGGCTATCCTCGTACACTCCTCACTAGAGTCCCTCCTAAACTGCTTTCTTCTTTAGTGAGGACTACTGTACAAGCTGCATTATGCAGAGTATCTGTTGCTACCGGAGTGTGTAGCCAAAACAAACAGGTTATTATTCTGATGCGAATAAGATACACAGCATCACGCATCTTCATGACCGTGCCATTCCTATGGAGCTGGCTCATAGCTCGATGGCAATGCAGTTCACCTGCTGAATTGACAGAAATCCGGCTGTAAGCTGTCCTCAGGGGGAGAACATGTTCTAGAATAAGAGCAGTGGGGTTCCATCTGTTTACGTCATGATGGTAGTGAGTCAAGCAAATGTGCCCCCTTCTTGTTCCGAAGTTTCAAACACACCGAATTTCATGATGCACTACATTACTAGAATTTATCACACTGCATCGTCTTGAAAACAATTCCCGTGTTGACTCGAGGACATACTAACTTCAGTACTTCGCCGAAGGGAGGCTTCGAGGTCTTGGTAGACTTATTCTCCCCCAGCATGGCCTCATACGACCTCTCCAAAGCACGAATCCATTGCCCCAAAAACAGAAACTTTCTTCGATAAATTTGAAAAAATGTGAAGTAAGACTGCACGCGTCGGCACGCCGTGCGTACGCAAGCTATTGCGATGCGGGTTGCTACGGTACGCCGCCATATTGATAAATGTCGCACTCGGAACAGCCCTGGTTTCACAACTAACTGGCTAACAGCTCTAGCACATCTTGGATGTGCACTCCAACAGCCTTCTAACTTGGAAGGTTTTAAGAGAGCATGTCTGAGAATGCCAAAGTATGTGTGCAAGTGGATCTCTCCGATTTCGGTCAAAATTTGCAGATAGGTTCCCTTTGGGGTGTGGATTGATTGTGCAAAGCCCTTGAAAAAGTATCTGAAGGGAACCTTGAAATTTGCATACCCTCAAAAATGGCCGAAATATCACATTATTTATGGGTCTAGAAACGAGTCACGCCACAGCGTATCCGAACAAGCTATGAACTAAACTCCATCAAGCCAACATTGCCTCACCTTAGAAGAGTTCCTAGAGCAGTACCGCTTAGCCACGCCAGGATCCCAGAAGACGAGGTCCATCACCCCCTGACGCCACAAATGATCGTCTTGAAAATAGCCAATTTACAAGCGCTGGCTAAACAGCCAGCTACGTCCTCAATTGGCCAGAACTATACACTGGCAGATAGTAGAACACCTCTTCTAGCGCTGAGGACATGTCCCCCATCTTCCTTTTGGGGTTTTCTTGAAATAAACTTTTTTGAATTTTTCCACTCGACCATGCTGAAATACGGCCAAAGAGCACGCGATCTCACCGTGCATCTTGCAATAAAATCAAAAACTGCGTTCAGGACTTCAGTCACTTTTTGCATCAAAAGTCGCACAAAACATTATTGGTGTCGCAGAGAGAAGCTTGTCGTTTGGAGTGACAAGTGATCACCGCTGCTTTTCCTTGTCAGAGTCAACAATACACTTTGTTTTGCGGCCTTGGGAGTAGTGTTGAAATGGAAATTGCTGAGGAGACGGCGCGGAGGGGCGAGCTTTCCTGCGCAGGTATGACTTTGGCCGTATTTCAGCATGGTCGAGTGGAAAAATTCAAAAAAGTTTATTTCAAGAAAACCCCAAAAGGAAGATGGGGGACATGTCCTCATCGCTAGAAGAGGTGTTCTACTATCTGCCGGTGTATAGTTCTGGCCAATTGAGGACGTAGCTGGCTGTTTTGCCAGCGCTTGTAAATTGGCTATTTTCAAGACGATCATTTGTGGCGTCAGGGGGTGATGGACCTCGTCTTCTGGGATCCTGGCGTGGCTAAGCGGTACTGCTCCAGGAACTTTTCTAAGGTGAGGCAATGTTGGCTTGATGTAGTTTTGTTCACAGCTTGTTCGGAAATGCTGTGGCGTGACTCGTTTCTAGACCCATAAATGGCCCAACTTCTGCGAAAACCAGGCTTAGGGTGAAAATCATTTTTTTGAGAAAAATGATGTTTTGTAAAACGGTTGTGTCGCGTGCGTGGACGCTCGAGTGCAGTGAAGTGGAACCAAAGAGAATCTCGCTTGTTTGAAGAAGTAGCAGTCATGGCAGGAAGGGTTTCAGCAGTCAGGGAAGTCAAAGGGCTTCCGGTAGAATATTCCCTGCTACTCCTCTAGTCACAACGAAGAGTTTTTGAGCTGATCGAACGGATTCCATCTCCTTCACTCAGGGATGGCGAAATTTCTGCGCTAGCTGCTGCTTGCGGAAAATGGTGAAGAAATCGTCTCCAGTTAGAGTCGTGATGACGATAGCGAGGAGAACCTGGACGGCATCGACCCAGCCAATCGAAGTATGGAGATACTAGCTGTTTCTGGGCCTCACGCAAAGGGAACACGCGCAGCAGAGCTCATACGTTTGCAGCAAGTTCACGAGGAAAAAGGCTAGAAGCGCAGTGTGAAAACTGTTTTGAATTGAAGTCCTTGGCGATGAAGTGCTACTGAATGCCAGGCGAATGAGCGAGCAGATCGAGAGGCCTCCACTCGAGACTTTCCTCGCTGGACAGCTAGCTGCAAGGGATTGTACGGCGTGCCGAGATTTCACTTGCTGGTCAGCACCAAGCAGACACTGCAGCACGCCAGCACACTATCACTATGCGCATACTACGAACAGTGGAACAGTTTGAAAGGCTGTGTTCTTGCTTGTTTTTGAATAGTTGTACTAGATTCACCCTTCAAAAGGTGCCATCTCGACTGGAGTCGGGTTTCCTTGTGGTGTGTAGCGCCAGAGCATGCCAGTACATGTATGCAGCCCCAGAATGTGCTGAATGAGGAGCAAACAAAATTCATGCAGAACTGTGCATGGCCACTACAGCCTGGAGCACCAAGGGGCCACAACAAGCCTGCCCCCACATGCCTACCTTGTCATGTCACCTAAACAAAAATCATCCATGTCTCTTCCTTCACTCTGGTGGATCTCTCTTCATTTCTTTCCTGTGATAACAATTTTGTGTTTTTTTTGGATTTTTTAACACAATACCCTGGTGTGTTTGAGATACTTTTAATACCACTATGAGTCGAACCACACCTGTAATATTTTGTCTCCTGACCTCCCATGCCCAGTAGAACCTGAAAATGGGAAAAAGTCATTTTGTGAAATTTCACCCTAAGCCTGGTTTTCGCAGATTCTGGGCCAAATAATGTGATATTTCGGCCGTTTTTGAGGGGTATGCAAATTTAAGGTTCCCTTCAGAAACTTTTTCAAGGGCTTTGCACAATCGATCCACACCCCAAAGGGAACCTACCTGCAAATTTTGAGCGAAATCGGAGAGGTCCATTTGCACACATACTTTGGTATTCTCAGACATGCTCTCTTAAGTTATAGAAATAACATCAGAAGGGGAAGGTGAGCGCAAGCAAGACAAGCACGAGCTGAAAGTCTCCGCTGTGAAGGACGTTGGCGGATGTTCATGCATTGCGATGACGATACTGGCAAGACCAATGGACAATAAGGTCGAACAACGATTCGAGATGTCTCAGTACTCTGTCAGTTTTGTGCCTAGTTCTTGCACTTTCTGACTGTACACACTATGTAGAATCTAGTTACAGTGATGGAGAGTTCCTCTTAACTCGAATCCAAGTGACCTTTTCATTTCTACAGTTATTGTTGGTTCAGCATCCGACTTTAATATATTTTTTCTCTTACAGTTGTGACTTCTTTCACTTGTGATTTTTTCTCCTCCCCTCCCCATTACTTCCCATAACTATTATCACAAACCTTGCCATGCCGTGTATGTCGCTCACATGTATAAAAGGAGGCGCCATCGCCTGTTTGTGTAACTCTAAAGCAGGTTCTCCAACTCGGCAAATCAGTTGATCTATGCGACTTTGTGCCTTTGTATCACCTTGACGTTTGTATAGCAAAAGGCATGCAACAACGTTATTGAAAAGACTCTAATGTATTATCTGCAGCAAAACTTGTTTCATTTATTCAAAAGGATCAAAAGATTAACTCCATTATTGAATAGTGTTCAATGTGAAGACTAATATGGGCACAAGTGCTGAATATTTCTAATTGCTGCTTTGAATACGTAAGCTTTCAAACACCAGACCATGTAGAACTCACATATTGGCAATGTTTGGGCACGACATGACAACTCCGTTGCTACATGTACATGAACCACAGGCTTTGGAAGGTTCACTCCAAGCTAGCACCATACAAATCACAGCCACCGATAAGACCTGCGAATAATATCCAAAGGAAATGGCCAGACGCACAACCAGAACAGAACAGAAAACGTTACGGCTTCTGGTAGAAACTCAAAAATACAACACAGCAGTGTTATCAATTACCTAAACATAATATTTGTATACGTACACAAGGACGCTAAACATTCTCAGTTTGCGGACAAGATGAGAAAGTCAACGCTGAGGTGCAAAAATATAGGTAGAATCTGGATAAATCAAACCCCAGTATGCCAGGGCATTCCAATTATCCAACCCCCAGAACATATGCCCGTTTTGAGGTTCGAATTACCAGACTTTGCTATTCCCGTAGCTATGCAAAAGGTGTTACTTCAGTAACGTATTGCGCTAGCCAGGGTCCACACAGCTTTAATGCCATGTGTTTGTTTGTGCCGTCGCGTACGTCGGCATGCCTGGCGCTATCCCGTACCTGTCTCGTACCGTACCATCAGAGACAGCTGGCCACAATATTCAAATAGGGCTTTCAAATGCAAGATCATAACGTTCAGCAGCTTGGAAGAATGAGTACGTATGCGAAGTGTATCGGGGGGATGCATACGGTGCGATAGTGCGGGTTTGAATCCTAGGTTATGTCTTGAGTAAATTAGGAGAGATGAAAATTTATAACATCACTATGCTTTTTCGCCTTGGTCATCTAGGTGGTAGACGGTGTCGTATTACCTTCGAATGCAAAGAGAAAGTTATTTTATTTCGCTCAGGGCCCTACGCTATTCTTTTTTGTTTAGCTCATCATGCATGTTACTCGAACAGATGGAAACTTTTGCAGTACAATGATGTAGCCGATCAGTTCGTTGTGGTATGGTTGGGCATTGTAGCCGTCATGGTCGACGTAAAACACTATAGCCAATTAATGGAAAAAACATTTCCATCAGTTCTAATAACATGCAAGGCAAAAAAGCTAGGCAAAAAAAGCTTAGCGTAGGACCCTCAGCTTCCAAGCTCTCTCATGTTAATATCAAGAGTAGTAAAAGTACGATTGAGCTGGCTTTAAACTCTGATAAGGCCCTTGGTGGCAGCGTTGCCCATTGGTCGTTTCCTGGATAACGAGACAGACCTCATTCTAAATACAAAATAGCATAATACAATATTGAGTGACACGTTTCCTATTCTTTAGTCCGCTATACTACAGAAACCCATTTAGCAGAAAAGCATTTAAAGGAAGCCATGATGCGCTTCTAGCAGGGCACAGAACTGAAGGTGGCTGGGCTAGTAGTAGTAGAAGTATTAGTAGTGTTTATTAGACTAGGGAGTCGAAACAGGCATGGCTCCGCCATTGTTACAGGGAACCCTAGGTGAATCTGTGAGGTGAGCAAATGTATCAGCAGATTGTGCCCGACGACAATTTGGAGGAATAGCATTCCACCGACCTGCCGCCAGAAATGAAACCGAGTGCAGTCCATACTCAATTTCTACAGTAGGTAATACTAAGGCAGCTGTATCCTGGCCACGAGTACGAGCATGTGTGCGCGGGCCAGCTGAACGCAGGGTAAACAGTGATTGAAGGAGGTGCTAGCAATTGATGACAAGTAGTGATAGACCAAACCGTATAGTTTCAAATTAACTCTTTACTCAAACGAATGCAGATTACACGGTTGTAGGACTAATGCAGTTGGGGTCATTCCATCTAAACCAAATGCATTTTTCATCGCAATGTGGCTGACCGTTACAAGTCTGGGTATATGGGATAGTTTTCAAACAATGCACATACGCATTACTTGCTTATCCTAGATAAAAAAATCATCGATTAGTATACAGAGGTATTTCACAGTAGAGACAGGGGAAATGACAATATCTTTAGAGGTCAGGTACACTTTACAAGGCTGGGCTCGTGCAGGCAGGGCAGGACGTTGCATCAACATGACCTGTGTCTTAAAGGAGTTGAACCGAAGGCCATTTTTATCGAGGTGATGCTGTAGCCACCGCATACGATCCTGCAAGCGTAGCATGATTGTAGCCACATCAGAGCCGGATACGTATAACGCAATATCATCAGCGAGCAGCTGCACCATACTCCCGCGAATAAGTTCGGGTAGTCGGCGAAGATACATGCAGAAAGGCAATGGCCCGACAACAGACTCCTAGGGGACCCCTCTTGTACAGGGTTTGGTGTCACCCTTCTCACCATGGACAGTAACATGCTGACTGTGATTCGTGAGATAGTCTGAGAATCACTTGAGGACAGTGTTGCCTACGCCAGTTGCGGCTAGCTCATCCAGTAGACCTGTGGGGTGCACATGGTCGAACGCCTTGCCCATATCCGCAAAGACTTCTAGTCAAGTTCTGTCTATGCAAAGTGTCAGGGCATCCTCACAGCTATGATGTGAGAGGTACGCAAATTGTTCAGCTGCTATGGCAGATAGGTCTGGCTTCTGGGTGAAATACGAAGTGACGTAATTGCGGATAATCTTCTCTAGGATCTTGGCAGCGATATGTAAGAAAGAGATTGGTCTGTAGATGGTGGCTGAGGTCTTATCACCGGATCTGTAAACAGGGCAGACATGGGCAATTTTGTAGGCAGCAGGAAAGATGCCAGACCTAAGGGACTGGGGGACGATAAAAGTTAGGGGACGCGAGACTTAATCTCTGCATTATTTCAGGATGCCGGACAGAATATCATAGGAGCCGGTGGCTTTGCTGGATGCAAGAGATTCAAGCAACTTCGAGATGGCATCGACGCTGACAGTATCAAACTCCAAAAGGGTAGCGCCATTGGGGTCTGCAAGAGGCAGGGGCACCTTGACTGGTCTGGCAGGGTCATGGAGGATCTCGGCAAAGGCACTAGTAGTCGTCAGATCAGCGAGTGTGGCTGCTGGTGCAGCCCTCACTGCTGTTCTACCAGACTAGCTATTGATACTGGCCCATTAGCCTCGTGGGTCATGGTGACGATTTTCGAACTCTCTGATGTAATACTGCTGCCTATTGAGGAGAGTGCCTTCTCGCCGTATTGCACGATACATCTGCCGAAGCTGTTGATCTGACGGGTGAGTGCGTACCTTTCTATGTATGTGGATTCGTTGCTGGAGGAGGTGTTTCAACCGAGGTGTCTAGCCAGCTACCGACTCTGGAATGGCCTGCCCGACAATATGAAGTCGCTAGTATCTGACGGTGGATTCAAACGCATGCTACGCGTATTTATATTATGTTAAATGCAATGGCTTTCGTAACCTGCTGATAAGGCTCGATAGAATCATACTACGATGACCCGACTTGTAAATTCGAGATCTCTTTTTCTCAGATGGAGAGCCAAGGAACTTTTTAAATATGGAAATCGATAGCATACCTTGTGTCCACAATTTCCCATATTTATAATACACACCGTTTTCCTGCTCGTCCTAACCCTGCCTCCCCTCACCCTTACTTCCATTTTCGTATTATAATTATAATTTTACTTTCTCTTCATCTCTGACTCTTTTTACTGGTTGTCATCGCTTTCATAATACCGTAAAGCACCGTTGATCCGCCCCCTCTCTAATTCCCACCCCCCTGTCGATTTTCTACCTGTGAAGCGATTTCGGGGTAGACAACGAAATACGATGTTGAACCGACGCTTGCACTGCTGTACTCAATATGTGCCAATCCAGGATGAGAATGTGCACAATTTAGCACATCGAGTCTGATCCTCCAAGTTGTTGTACATCGTACTGCACTTGACAGCCTTGATCTAATTCCCCCCCCCCCCCCCCCTGTCGAAAAACCAGATGGGAAGCGGCATGGCGTGGGGGCGAATCAACGGTACTACTATTGGGCAGAACTGCCCGTTTGACATGCGATGTATATTAAATAAACAACAAAAACAACAACAGCTTGCTCACTCCATAAAATATCAATATGCCCCACAACACATACGCATGCTCAACACCCCCGCTCAGGTTACGGCCCAGCACAGCCTTCGACACGCACGCACTTGGCACCTCCCACCCTCCAGAACCGATCGCTGTAAAGACTCCCCACTGTACAAGTCCCTAGAATACTACAATGCCCTCCCTGCTAGCATTCATGACGTCTCCTCCCGACCTGCTTTCAAACAAGAAATCTGCTCACTGCTGATTAACTCAATCTGCTCCTGCAGCGCTCACCCTCTCCCATACTTGTAAAGTTCAAAGTGATGTAAATCACTTTCCAACTGTTTAACCCACAATCTCACCTTCTCATAAATGTATCTCTTCTTGGCGATGGTGCCATCGTGAGAATAAAGAATTCAAACAACTTTGGTGCTTTTTTGACAACATTCACATCATCTTTGTTCAATATGCGTACATGTTGCGAACTACACCCTTGTTTGGTTCGATTGGGCCAGCATTGCTCGGACTACACCGTGTGCCCGCACTCAATCCAGATTTGCCAATCGATGAGACCCTGCTGGAATATTTAGTCCGCTGCTTGTTATGACCAGCACGAGCGGTGAAAGTACAATATGAGATTTAGACCACGTGATGTGTGAAACTTTCGCTGTTTGCGGATCTACAGCTGTGGCAAGCGAAATCCGACACTTGTCATAGGGGACAGCGCCACAAATTAACCCCAATGATGTAATGCACTGCACCTAATTTGTACTATAGAGCCGTATGCATCCCAAACAGATCGAAAGGTCACAGTGTAGATACACACAGTTCACAAACATGGTACACATAAGGAGTATTGGTATCCAATCCCAATTCATTTTTGCCAGCTGTGATGAGTACGAGTTTTGTCATCAGACAGATAAAGTTGTATGTAACACATGTGCGAGGTGGTTCGCAATTTTTGGACATGTTGTAATTTTTGGAAATCAGTTAAATATGGAAGTAGAATCCTCCTGAGTCGTTGTCCTTTCCTTGGTGGACAAATCTTTGACAAGAGTGTCTTCATGTGGTCCTCAAGTTTCTTCGTGCCAATGTTTAGCCATGAAGGCCGTTTCTTTCTGGGCGTTTTCTTTATTATTCTTAGGTAATGTAATGAGTAATTTTGAA